GGCCTGCCTCAAGGGCCCAGTCTTCCACCATCCTACCCCGAACGTCAGTAAACCGGGAACCCCAAGCCAAGTTTTGGCATTGAAGTCCCCGAGGACGAGCACGGGGAGGGAACGGAACCCGACAACGACGGCGACCAGCTCCCTCAGGGAGTTGTGGAACTCGGCGAGAGTTCGGTTCGGAGAGAAATACACGCCCACCACAGCGATCTCTCCGAACCGTGCTGCGACACAACCCCGGCCTCTCTGAACGGCCTCGAGAGTCGGGGTACCGGCGGCGGCTGACGAGATGATGGTCACCGAGCCGTCCAAGTCTGCCACCCAGTGATCCCTGGGCGGGACAAAATACGGCTCGGAGACCACAGCGACATTTATTGACCACTGCGCCATGCTCTGAAGCAGGAGATCCTGAGCGGCGGCGCAGTGGTTGATGTTCGCCTGAAGGAGGCGGAATGGAGCTATTATTGGCAATCCATCCCAACCTCTTCCCTGACGGCATTAAGCCAGTGGTGGCCGCGGCGACGGTAGCAGTGGCGACTGCAGCGGCGGCGGCGGGACTGACGGGGGCAGCGGAGGGCCTACCCTTGCCCCTAGATTTGGCAGGAGGGGAGCAGGCCTTGCTCCCGACCCGGTGATTGGCCGGCTTACCAACCGCCGCACATGCATGACAGTGCAGCGGGGCAGAGCACGAGCCGGCTCTGTGACCGGGCTGACCGCACCGGAAGCAGCAGTCGCTGCGGTCTACCTCCGAGGTGCACCTAGCGCTCACGTGGTCACCTACGTGGCAGCGGTAACACCTTATAGGTCGGACCTCGAGCAGTTTGACCTGCGCCGAGACCCAGCCTACCAGGAGCCTTCGACCCTCCTTTATTTTCTTGGCCGCTGAGACGGGGCAGCTCACTACAACCGTTCGCAACCCCGAATTATCTGCACGGATGGTGCCGCCTTAACCTGCTCCGCAGGGCACTCACCCGTCCTGGCCACCGCGGCCACGACCTCCTCCTCCGTCACGGAGTCGTCCAGGCCCATTATACGTAACTCCAGGCACTTGGTTGGCCTTGACACGCGAGCCTCGTCTGCACCGAGGCACACTCTGAGCCTTTCGGCTAGAGCGTCAGCGGTTGGACCGCTGGTCGCGCCGGGGACCTCTAGTAAACGGGCTCCAGTCGCCGTCACTTTCAAAGAGAACCCGTTAGGGGCCCCGTACTCCGCGGGAGTTACCGCCTGCTTCAGTTTGGCGAGGATGTCGCCATATGTCACGCCTCTTTTGACCGCGTCCGGCTGTAGAGTTATCACTACAGCCGCGGTTTTAGGGGCGACAAGCATTGCCGCAGCGCGCTTTTCCTTGCGCCGCTGCCGCTGCCTCTGCCGCTGCACCTTTTTTCGGCGCTTTCGCCCTTGCTTGGCGACCCTCCTCGCCTCTCCGACCACCTGCCATCCGCCGTCGCTGGCAGGGGAACCCGAAGTTCGGGTAGGCTCCACAGCTGGGGCAGTAGACGGCCCAGCCACGGCGCTCCCTCGCCTACGAACTGTTGACGCCCTCACCACCGGTTCAGCTGGAGCCTGCGCCGGCGAAGCCGCCGGCGGTTGGGCCCGGACACCGCGGCTGACCGACCAGGAGTAGTCGGCATAGCTGCCGCAGCCGCAAATGTGCGCGGTGCTGCTTGACTCCCTGCGAGTGGGGGGCGGAGGATCCTGCTCTCCAGCACGTCAAAACGCTGCTGGAACGCAGCCATCTCCCGCCGCACCAGGCCGATTATGTCGCCTCCACTGGCTGCGAGGCTCGGGGTCGACCCTCACGAGCAGCGGCGAGCTCGGCCTTGGCTGACCGAAGCTCGGCCTCCATAGCCGCATTGGAGGCTGTCAGCCGGATCATTTCTCGGCGCATCTCCCCCAGCTCTTTTTGCAAGGCGGCCATCTGCTGCCTGCCGCTGAAGGCAGCCCACACTGTCGAGCCGCTTTCATAATGGCTGCCTTCGCTTGCCTTAGCACTCCGTTTCGGCCCTTCTCGGACTTCTGCCCAGCCACCGTCCGGAGTGTTTCTTTGACCACCTTGCAAAGTTCGCCATTTATGGCACCAAGGTCGCCTACTGAGCCCTCGCCGCCAGATTCTGATGAGTCAGCTTCAGCTGACTCGGCCCGAGTAGCGGCCATCGCCTCTCGCAGCCCTTTCTTCGACCCCTACCCCGCGCAGCCGTAGGGATCTTAGGGGCTGGAGCCTCCTGCTCGTTGGAGGACGGATCCCGGCCCTCCTTCAACCTGGGACGTTTAAACGTCCCCTTTTTTTGGCGCTGTGAGCTCAAGCTGCGCAATGAGTAAGCGCCAGATGCGGAAGAGTAGTCAGACTCTGCTTCCGACATCCTCCGACTTAAGGCCCGTGTGAGGGATTTGCTGGACGACTCCAACACTTCCCCACGGGTTCCAGAGCCACCCTGGCTCTCCCCGCCAACAGCAAGCGAACTAAGCTCGCTTGCCCTCTCCTCCTCCGGTGTTTTATTTTTGTTTTTATTTTTATTATTAGAATCCATACAATTCCCACGAGTATGGGGGAAATAAACGGTCCGCCCAGGCAGTGCCCCCTGTACCTGGGTAAGTGTATATTTGTTTCCCAACTAGAGGGTCCACCGGTACCCTAGCTGGGGGTGCGCTCACGACTGACACTACTCCTCAGCCATGCATACCCTCGCCGCGCACCAGAACTTGGTATTGGAGGAATTTTTTATAGAGGTTATCTTCCTCGCGGTCCGGGCGACCAAGCCAAGACCCTCGTCCCGTTCTGAGTCATGAGACATCCATGATCTCTTCTCGGATTACGATTTCGACGGTTGCAGTCGAGGACTCATGTGTCCCGATGCTGCTCGTTGGCAGGGTGAGTGCGCAACGAGCACCGCCCTTGCCTCTCCGCCACGTTCTCTGCTAAGTTCAGAGAGACGGGCGGAAAAACATCCCCTCGGAAGCACAGGCTATATATCAGCACACAGCCCGCCGCCTCCAGAACCCATCCTGGGTTCGTCCGCCCCGTCCAGAAGTTAGCTACAGGCAATAGCCACTCCAACCCTATCACTCCCGTTAGGGAGACTATCATCTGTACCCAGGGTGCACCACGGGGAGGTCTTCTGGCACCGCACCCCAGCAAACAGTCGTCTACTCACCCAATTCCTTCCAACTTTGACATTCAACTAATTTACATTACACGGCTCAATTTAAAAAAGTATACCAGCCGTATTTACCAGGAATTCTGTCGCCAAATTAATTTCAGCACAAATACCGAAATTAGTTACGAGTTACGTCCTAAACAAACTGGTTAGGACTCCGTTTTGGGAGCCCCCTCAGCAAATACTTGGCTTCAGTCCTAAGTTACAAGCCTGGAATAATATTTGAGGGTCCGAAATTATCATGGCCTTCAACCAAGGTTCGTGTGGTTTTGAGTCGAGTCCAATTCTCATTTTAAAAGGAACAAATCCTAGCATGTAGGTATAACTTATTCCTAACTTTGTTAAGTATTGCAATATTGACCAAGTGATCTCAAAGGTACACGACACACGTACGTAATTAGTAATAGTACGTAATCTGAATCTGTGCTCGGCGTAGTTCTAACTTAATCCTAACTTAAACTTAGGCCAATAGAAAATTGTAGCCATTTCAACAGACAAGAGTTTTTCACATCAATTTGTAGGTTCACTATTTATGGAACTTGTAATATCAAGGTTAATGACCAAAAAGTCAAATGACAGTTAAATAAATTAATCAATTTACCGCTTCATTGACTTCAAACACTGTTACTTTAGTAATCTGTTCATTCAGAATATTTTTATCACCAGCCATGTTTTTATTATTAGGTACCTTTCTTTTTATTTATTCTGAATTCCAAGCAGTTTTTATTACGTATAAAAAGACTGACGTTCACTTCGCTGTTCCTTTTTTCTTTTTAACAATGGCTGCTAAAACGTTATTTTTATTTTTGTATTCCAATTTCGAATGTATGAAAATGCAAGTCATAGAATCGAAGGTTTTTGGACTTTGGGATTTTTCATCCATTAATTGACAATGCAGTATTTTTTGTCGTACGCCAACTTTAAATTTTTGCAATTTGCAGCTTTTTTGCACGTTCTGAGAATTTCAAAATTTGTCACACATCGACATGGCTTTGTTAGATTTTCCTCATCAATTTGGGGATTAGTTAAAGTTCGACTGCGTCGTATTTATAGAAATTGCAATGAAATAAAATAATTTCAATCAATCGTCACCCAAGTAACCTTCGCGTTTGATTGCTTATAATTCAGTTGTAACTAATTTACGGTTTTTTCGTGAACTCATCTTCCGGTGTTTGTTCCAAATCCTTCCCATGTGGCCATGTTCATGATAAACCGGTAGTTAGGTTTTGTTTCATGGGGACCAAAAAATTTGCCATTCACACCTTTTTCCTCATTTGCGAATTTTCAATGAAGCGTTAAAGGATTGTAATGATTTCACGGGTTATTTTTGGAAATCCACGATGAATTATCAAACGGTGCATCTGAAATAAAAACTGTTTTACCTGAATACGATCAACGTGACTTTCAATGTTAAAAAAATATTTGAAAAGAGGTCTCATCATTGATTGTAGCATGTGATCTTAACAATAAGTTATAACACACTTTAAGTTAAAAAACTTGATTAAATAGATCATGACCTAATGGTACCTTGTCATCCTACACGTGAACACGTGACCAAACATTCAATATTAGAACCATTATTTATAATTATTGAATACTAGCTTCTGCCCGCGACTTCGTACGCGTAATCCCATTTTTTCCCGTCCCCGTTCGTGATTTTCGGTAAAAAGTAAAAAAAAAATTGGGGAAAAAAGTATTCTATGTCGGTCTCCTGGGTCTAAGCTACCTCTCTACCAATTTTCAGCCAAATCTATTCTGCCGATCTTGAGTTATAAGTGGTGTAACTAACACGACTTTCTTTTATATATATAGATTAAGTGATCAACGTCCAATTTTCTTTTCTTTCAGCGTTGGAGCTCGTGGGACCAAAAGGCAGAGTCTTCGTCAGTCTCCTCTTCAATACGATGTTCATTCTTGGAGGCGTCACAGTCACTCTCCTCTCCTGGTGGCTCCTCAACTGGAGATACCTGCTCTTCATCATCTACACTCCTGCAGTCTTCGTCTTCATTTACATCTGGGCTCTCCCAGAAAGCTTCAGATGGCTCTTCAGCAAGGGAAGATACGAAGAAGGATTAAGCGTCCTTAGCAGGTCAGAAAAGATGAACAATGTCAACGTTCCTAAAGACCATTACGAGCAAGTTGAAAAGCAAGCCACAAAGCAAAGAGACGAAAGGAAATGTGAGAATGTTGAGAGGAACCAGTCGACCTTCAATCAGATGCTCACGTCTTCTATGATATGGAAAAGACTGTTCATTTGTTCTTTCCTCTGGATCTCCTCGACGCTGGTCTACTACGGTCTTTCAATCAATGCTATTGAACTCTCCGGGAACAGATATGTAAACTACATAGTGATCTTGGTGATAGAAGCTCCTGCCAATGTCTGCAAGCTGATCTTTTTGGACAGATTTGGAAGGAAGAGGGTGATCGCTACTGCGTATTTCCTGACTGGATTGATTCTGATCAATTATGGATTTGTACCAGGTAAATGTTTGTCTATTTTTTTTAAAAAAACTTGCTTCACACTAGGATTATCTCCTGTGTCGTGGGTGCGTTTACAAACACACAAGTTCACAAACACATCACACCCAGACCCGAAATAACAATTTGTGGATCACACAAAGTGTTGTTCCGTACGGGAATCGAACCCGCGACACGTTGCACGACAGCCGGATGCCCAGCCACCGCACCAACCGTGCAGTCTTTCATATTAACCCGTGGAATGCTGGAATGTAGATATACGCGAGACACAATGTGTTTTCTATTACGTCTGATATGCCGACAGATAAGCGGTTAATACATATTTTAAGGGACGCCTTTATGAAAAATTCTTCTACAAAAAAATTACACAGTTTACATTCACTTTTATATTTATCTAACGTCACACCACTTCTGTTGCTACAAATATAATGTTGTTAGAAACATTGTTCTTGCAAACAATATGTTTACTGCGCTAGTCTATTAGCTCATTTAATAGTGTGCATTATTATCGACCCTTTTGCTAACACCAAATACAAATCCAAATACCAACTGTTAATTAGCAAAATTAAAAATTAATGGATTCAGATAATCCAGGTTCAATTGAAACCTATTTGTGGGTGTTAGTGGTGTTAATGCAATTCGTTACAAACAGTTTAACAAAGCTCAAATTAATTAACCACATAACACGTGTTTTATACATTATATGAATATATAATAGTAGGTATGTTATTGTTCAAATTACATAGGCATTATAATACCAATTATGCAGTGGAAATTGTTTAAAGAAAAACATTATTTTATTACTTACACAACTTGCTAATTAGTTTTGATTCGTTGCTCAATTAGCCAAGACGTCGTACAATAGGGATGACGACAGGGTATGAAAATTAAAAAACTAATTAGTCCGTAAGTTAGATAATGAAAAAATATTAGACACGTATTTTTTTATTTTATCGTATAATAAAACAATACTTAGATAAAACGAATCAAAGTTTAGGAGTGGCGGCTAAAACGTCATTTCTACGTATAAAATGTACATAGAAGTGACGTCACGCGACATTTCAAATCAATATATCGCCGAAAGTATTCGTTTCTGTGAGAAAATGAAAAATACGTGTCTAATGATTTTAAACAATCTACCAGACAGACATTAAAATAAAAATTAGGCATCTACCCTATTACGAATTGGCATGTAGTCTCAATATTAACTAGCAGATTATTTATTTATTTATTTATTTATTTACACTTTAATGCACACAAAATAAGGTACATAAGCCGGACTTTATCAAAAGATTGCCTGACTTTAGCGATATGTGATCAAGCTTGACAGATAAAACGAAGTATTCTCTATTTGATTTGATTTTTGCCATACGCGGTGTATAACAACGCCTCACTTCTGATATAAGATCGATATTGATAACCTATATATATAAAAGAAAGTCGTGTTAGTTACACTATTTATAACTCAAGAATCGCTAAATCGATTTGGATGAAAATTGGTGGGGAGGTAGCTTAGAACCAGGAGACGGACATAGGATACTTTTCACCCAATTTTTTATTTTTACTTTTTACCAAAAATCAAGAACGGGGACAGGAAATATCGGGATTGCGCGTACGAAGTCGCGGGCAGAAGCTAGTATTCTATAATTTTGAGTTATGAGCACAATTAGAAATAGAGAGAGCTCTGCTTGCCCCTCCTCCGGAACTACTGCGTATAGTATCGACGTAGGATTGTTCAGTTTTTTTTTTTTTTTTTTTTTTTTTTTAAGGGGGGAAAATCATCGAATGACTGCCCCCGCCTGGGTGAGGCGGGAGGGAGTGTCAGACTCTTACTGACTAAAAACCACCCCGTTCCTTCTCCTGCACGTCGAGCCGGAGCCCCGGTTACCCGTTAGGTTCTCCGCGACTCCGAATCGGCATCGGCCCTATTGGACCCCATCTGTGGTGGTCTGATGGCTCTTTGAGGCGCGCGCGGAACGCGACGCGCCGTACGCTCGGGTCTGTTTCTGGTCGGACGGGGAGCCACCCATGCTCGCCGTCCGCAGGCCCGCGCTTACGGTGGCCGGAGATCGTCCCGCGATCCCCGACGCCCGGTGTGTCCTTCGCGATGGCTGGGTTGCGAGGAGGCAGCGCTTCGCTGCCTCACGCGTCCCGCCTCCTCCTTAGCTAGCATGACTGCTTCGCAAAAGGAGGAGACGGCATCCCAATCCCCCTCGCTCCGCATCATGGCCTGCACTAGGCCCGGACGCGAGAGGTCGCCATCGCCGATCACTTCCCTGAGGACACGGCGGTGCTCAGCCCACGAAGGGCATTTCCCACCGTGTGTTCCACCGTGTCCTCAGGGCGGTCCTCGCAGTGATGACACCCGGGCGTTTCCTCCCGCCCCATCAGACACAGGTACCTCCCGAAACTGCCATGTCCGGTGAGGACCTGCGTCAGGCGGTAGGTGAGGACGCCGTAGCGTCTCTCAAGCCACTCCTCAAAGAGGGGACTTACCGCTGCGATGGCAGCGAGCCCAGTCCTCGGTTGCGACAGTCGTTGCTGCCATTCCGCCATGAGATCGCGCCGGAGCTCATCCCGCCACGCACTTATCTGGCGCGGCAGCGGAGTTTCGCCCCGGCGACGTGCCTCCGCGCGCATGCTGTGCACGCGCGCGAGCACCTTCGCCTCCAGATCCCACGGCGGTAATCCGGCAAGGAGGTTCGCCGACTCCCCAGAGATCGTGCGGTATCCGCGGATCATTCGGATCGCCATGACCCTCTGTGCCATGAGCAGCGTCCGAGCGGGACGCCGCAACAGGTTAGGCGCCCAAACAGGGGCGCCGTAGAGGGCCATGGACCGCACGACCCCGGCGTATAACCTCCGGCAGGAGGCGTTTGGCCCCCCGAGGTTGGGGAGGATGCGTTTAAACGCAGCCCCCGTCCTCTCCAACTTTGGAGCCAAACGTCGGAAGTGTTCTATGAAGTTCCACCGACTGTCGAGGACGAGTCCTAGGTACTTCATCGTCGTCTCGACGCGAGACCTGGTAACTCCTCCCGCCGTTATTTGGGACCCACCCGGAGGTGGCGCGTTCCCGCGGCCATGAAAACACATGGCCTCGGACTTGTGGAGCGCCACCTCGAGTCCCAACTGCCGGATTCTCTCAACGACTGTCGCAACCGCTGTCGCCATTAAGTCGGCCGCCGCCTGGTGTGACCTCCCGTGCGCCAGCACCAGCGTATCGTCGGCGTAGCATATAGTGCTAACGCCGTTCGGGAGGTCGGTGCGCAGCACCCAGTCATAGCCGATGTTCCACAGGAGCGGCCCCAGAACCGAACCCTGTGGAACACCGCGTGACATCTCTCGCCGGTTCCACTCGCCCCGGTGACCGGGGTAGCTGACGGACCTGTCCGTCAGGTAAGCCTCGATTACACGACGGAGGTAGGTAGGCACCCGATGATATCGGAGTGCCTCCAAGATGCAGCTCCAGGGCAGGGAGTTGAAGGCGTTGGCGATGTCCAGAGACACCGCCACTACGACCTTACCCCTGGACACTGCAGTCCCCGTCGTGAGGTCTCTAACGCGCATGATGGCGTCCACCGTGGAGCGCCCTCTGCGGAAGCCGAACTGGCCGTCCGACAAGTCCGGCCCAATGTCCGTCAGGTGCGCGACGAGGCGGTTCGAAATGATTCTTTCGAAGACTTTCCCCACCTCGTCGAGCAACACTATGGGCCGGTACGCGGACGGAGAGTCCGCAGGGCGCCCCGTCTTCCGCACGAGGACCAGTTTTCCCGCTTTCCAGAGAAGCGGGAACTGGCCTCTCTCCAGACATGCGCTGTAGAGACCAATCAATCGAGGCCCGAGAGCCTCTGAGGCCAGGACCCATGCCTTGCCATGCAGGCCGTCGGGTCCGGGGCGGTGTTCTTGGCGCCCATCCGGCGCACCGCCGCTCTCAATTCTGCCTCGGTCACCTCTGGGACGATGTCGTCGTCGTCGTCGCTGTAGCCCGCGTCGGGCACCGCAGGGGGCGGAGTCATATACGGAGGGGTGAACCCCCTCCACAGTCGAGGGAACAGGGTGCCAATCACCTCCTCCAAGACTTCTTGCCGGAGACTCTGGGTGAGCGGGGGAGCCCAGGCGCGGAGTTTGTCGCGTACCATCCGGTACGGGCGTCCCCACGGATCTCTGTCCAGAGTCCCCAGCATCTCTCGGCGGGCCTCCTCCTTGGCCCGCAATATCTCCACCTTGAGGAGGGCCTTGGCCGCCCTGTATCCCTCGTACAACTCCGCCTCTCTCGCCTCCGCATTAGGAGGACGGATGCGGCGCCTGCGGTGCCTAGTGTACTGGCGTCGCGCAGCAGTGCACGCCTTGCGTAGAGCTGCTAGCTCTTGCGACCACCAGTACACCTGGCGCTTTTGTTGCCTCGACCGGATCCGGGGCATCGCCACGTCACAGATCCTGGACATGGCGTCCTGGAGCCACTTGGCCTCATCGTCTATGTCGGCAGGCCTGACCGGTGGTATCACCCAGGCCTGCACGATGGCGGCTTCCAGGAGCAGCTCCCGGTCCAGCTGTTTCAGCGCCCAACGCGGGCCACATGGGGCCTGTCTGACCGGCGGGTCTGCGGACTCGGCGGAGACGTCGAACCGGATATACCGGTGGTCGGAGTACGTCTCCACCTCCTCCATGACGCGCCAGCCAACAATACGCGGTGACAGAGCAGGGCTGGCGAACGATATGTCCACCACCGACTCGCCCTGCATCCGCACACACGTGGGGACAGAACCCCGGTTCAGGACGACTAGGCCTGTCTCAAGGGCCCAGTCTTCCACCATCCTACCCCGGACGTCGGTGAACCGGGAACCCCAAGCCAAGTTTTTGGCGTTGAAGTCCCCGAGGACGAGCACGGGGAGGGAACGGAACCCGACGACGACAGTGACCAACTCCCTCAAGGAGTTGTGGAACTCGGCGAGAGTTCGGTTCGGAGAGAAGTACACGCCCACCACAGCGAGCTCTCCGAACCGTGCTGCGACACAACCCCGGCCTCTTTGAGCAGCCTCAAGAGTCGGGGTACCGGCGGCGGCCGACGAGATGATGGTCACCGAGCCGTCCAGGTCCGCCACCCAGTGATCCCTGGGCAGGACAAAGTACGGCTCGGAGACCACGGCGACGTTGATCGACCACTGCGCCATGCTCTGGAGCAGGAGATCCTGAGCAGCGGCGCAGTGGTTGATGTTCGCCTGGAGGAGGCGGAATGGGGCCATTATTGGCAGTCCATTCCGACGTCCTCAGTGGCGGCAGCGGCGACTGCGGTGGCAGTGGCGGCGGCGGCGGCGGAAACGGCAGGGGCGGCGGAGGGCCTACCTTTGCCCTTTTTAGCAGGAGGGGAGCAGCCCTTGCTCCCGACCCGGTGATTGGCCGGCTTGCCAGCCGCTGCACATGCGTTGCAGTGCAGCGGGGCGTTGCACGAGCCGGCCTTGTGACCGGGCCGACCGCAGCGGAAGCAACAGTCGCTGCGGTCCACCTCCGAGGTGCATTTGACACTCACGTGCTCCCCCACGTGACAGCGGTAGCACCTCAGAGGCCGGGTCTCGAGCAGCTTGACCTGCGCCGAGACCCATCCCACTAAGAGCCTTTTGCCCTCCTTTAATGTTTTGGCCGCTGTGACGGGGCAGCTCACCACCACCGTGCGCAGCCCCGAGTTGTCCGGACGTATGGTGCCCACCCTGACCTGGTCAGCAGGGCACCCTCCCGTCCTGGCCACAGCGGCCACCACCTCACTCTCCGTGACGGAGTCGTCCAGGCCCAAAATCCTGACATCCAGGCATTTGGTGGGCCTGGACACGCGGGCCTCGTCCGCACCGAGGCACGCCCTAAGCCTCTCGGCCAGGGCGTCGGCCGATGGGCCGCTGGTCGCGCCGGGGACCTCCAAAAGACGGGCTCCGGTAGCGGTCACCTTGACCGCGAACCCGTCCGGGGCCCCGAACTCCGCAGGAGTCACCGCCCCCTTTAATTTGGCGAGGACGTCGCCATATGTGACGCCCCTATTGACCGCTTCAGGCTGTAGGGTGATGACCACAGCCGCGGTCTTAGGGGCGAGGAGCAGGGCAGCAGCGCGTTTCTCCCTGCGCTGCTGCTGCCGTCGTTGCCGCTGCGCCTTTTTTCGGCGCTTTCGGCCCTCCTTGGCGACTCTCCTCGCCTCGCCGGCGATTTGCCATCCGCCGCCATCCTCTGCTTGCGGGGCGGGTTCCGCCGCCGCCGCCGCAACCCCAGCCTGCCGGGCCGGAGTGCCCCTCCTCTTTTTGCGCCCAGCGGGCGCAGGCGCAGGCGCCGTCGGCGCAGCCGGGGTCTGCGCCGGCGGGGGCGCCGAGGCCCTCGCTGGGGCAGCCGGTCGCGCCTTTGCCGGCGGTTGGGAGCTGCGGCTAGCCTGACCCGAGGTCGAAGGCTTGGCCGCAGCGGCCGCGTACGACCGCGGGACCGCGGGGGCGACCTGACTCGTCGCGAGCGGGGGCCGCAAGAGCCTACCCTCCAGCACGTCGAAACGTCGCTGGAAGGCAGCCATCTCCGCCCGCAGCAGTCCGACTACGTCGGCCTCCGCCGGGGGCTGGGGGCGACTGCCGCGAGCAGCGGCGAGCTCGGCCCTGGCCGTCCGCAGCTCGGCCTCCAGAGCCGCGTTAGAGGCCGCCAAGCGCGCCAGCTCTCGCCGCATCTCGGCCAGCTCAGAGCGCACGTTTCCCTCAGTGGGCACCGCACGTTGCTCCAAGGCCGCCTCCGTATTGTTCAGTGTTTAACAAGTGTTTAACAACAATATAAGTAATGTGCCGGTACAAAACAACATTTTATTAAATAAACAAAGTGATTACTTCCTCATACCGACTATAAACCAGTGTTGTAATACGTTGCCTTTATTATTGGACGATTTTATGTGACTGGTTGACAGATATACTGTCTATAATGCACATGCAGTCTAGCTCTTTTGAAATAATATTACAAAAGTGTGGGAGAGCCATGCTTCGGCACGAATGGGCCGGCTCGACCGGAGTGATTTCACGGCCTGACAAAAAAACCGACGTGAAGCAACGGTTGCGTTGTTTTTCGTCGTGTGAGTGAGGTTATCGGAGGCCCAATTACCGTCCCCTTCTCCAATGTCCCCAATTCCTGAATCCCCAACGATTCTCAAACTACTAATCCCCAAAAGGCCGGTAACTCACTTGTTACGCCTCTGGTGTGCCAGGTGTCCATGGGCGACGCCGATTATTTACCATCAGGTGTTCCGTCAGCTCGTTTACCGGCTTAAGCCATAAAGTTGTATTTCGGAAGTCTCTAAACGTGTAAAGGATTTAGTCATTGTAAATCGTCCACTGATTAATACACACATTCTAGTTGAAAGCAACCAAGAGCTCTTAACCATTACAAAAAAGTAAAAGTATATTTTATGATAATATTTTTTTTTAATTCTTATATTACAGTGGGCAACTGGTCAATCCTTCTCTACCTGGGTGGCAAGTTCTTCATAACGTTAGCCTACAACTCCCTATACGTGTTCGCAGCTGAAGTATTCCCGACTAACTACAGAACCTCTCTCCTTGCTATGTGTTCTACCATCGGAAGAATAGGGTCCACAGTCGCACCACAAACTCCTTTATTGGTAAGCTAATTTGATTATTTGGTATGTTTTTTATTTATGCCTGCTTCGTTGGCCGAGTAGTCGCAAGTGCGAGTGCCGGGTAAGAGGTCTCGGGTTCGATTCCCGGTTGGGACAAAGTATTACTGGGTTTTTGAAAATCTCACGCCTTTTATCCCCGATGGGGCAGAGTTGCAGATTATGCCACTGTACAATGTAACACCCACTTTTCACTATTTATGTTATGAGTCCCATGTAATAGGGGGTGAGCCTACTGCCATATACCGGGCACAATTCCAGACTCCGTGCTACTACTTAGAACTTCGACAGTTATCTTAGTCAAATAGTCACCCGAGTCTAGCCCTTAGTAGATTAACAGGCGATGATGTTAGGTATAATATGTACCTAGGTATTTCTAGAGGTAGATCTGCTGAATCTAGTTCCTCATTGCATTAATCTCTAAGAAGAATGAACAAGGAACTCCATGGTTTATTATTTTCCAATATTATGTCATGTGGTGAACGAATAAAGTTTTATCATTGACATACAAGGTTATATGATTTCATAACCCTTAGTAATTTATGAGGTATACCTTTGTTGATAAACAAACATTTATGTGATGTTATTTCATCATCAAAACAAGATAAATGACGATCAATAGGTAGAAATATTTATTGATTTAATGTTTTACGTTCGACTACTTCGTTGGCCGACTGGTCGTAAGTGCGACTGCCGGGCAAGGGGTCTCGGGTTCGATTCCTTGGTCGGGCTAAATATTACTGGGTTTTAAAATATTCTCAGTAGTAGCACGGAGTCTGGAATTGTGCCCGGTATATGGCAATAGGCTCACCCCATATTACATGGCACTCAGAACATAAATAATGAAAAGTGGGTGTTACATTGTACAGTGGTATAATGTGCACCTCTGCCTACCCCTTCGTGATGTTATGTTATGATGTTATGTTTTACGCTCGAACACTGAAAAGGCAACAACAATTTTAAGTTGTACCTACTTAAAATATCGTGCCGTCTCTGTCATTTTACAAAGAGTTTGTAGGGACAGAACTATTTTTTTTTTCTTCTTTGGCAACCGAGTCTCCAAAACGATGTTGTCGACTATACTGCCAGTGTCGAGTGGTGACGGCAAAATTAATACATAAGCGCGACTTAAACTTGAGTGGCGTTTGAGTATTTCGACATTAGTTACGTAACTTAAGTTTAATCTTGTTATTAGTAAAGGGATAATCTGAGACCTTAGACAATATTAATAGATGCGATATCGTTTTGGACTCTTTGCAAAGGACAAGGATTGAAAAGCAATTCTATGTTTACAATCAATATCTAATGCAACATAAAAAATCATTATGGAGCATTAAAAAAACAATCATATTAACAACTTTAAAAATCGAATTACAAAAAGCACTATCCACCAAAATGTATGACAATAATGAGTAAGTATTTAGATATTAATCTTAGTTTTCTATTTTCCACAGACGAGGTTCTACGAATACCTCCCAACAATGATATTTGGGGGCATGGCCGCATTATCAGGATTCCTAGTCCTCACATTACCAGAGACAAACAACCTCAAGCTACCAGACTCCTTGAAAGAAGCCCAGGATCAAGACAGAAGAAAAGAAATTGAGGACACAGTTGAAAGAACCGTTGAAAGAACAAACACAACCACAGATAACAAAACTAGGTTATAATATTGTTTTTTTTAAGTAATTAATGTTTAGTAATTTTGACATTTTGAGCCAAAGGAGAAAAGTTGGAACAAAATATTGAACTAAAAATATTTTTTGGTTATGCTAACTATAGGCCGTCAAATACATAACCTTTGCCAGAAAAAAAAAATTGAAAGTGACGTTTGTCAAATTAAGGGCCTGTTTCACTAAAGTTTTTTACGCTTTTAGCTACTGTAGTGTAAATAATTTAATCTTAATTTTCGGTAAAATATGGAATCACTCAAGCTGGTTGTGAATTCGATTTGACATTTTATTGTAGAAGAGCTTATAATGCCGTAGTAGTATAAAAATTTTTTCTCTCACGTGGCAGCATTACTTTAAATTATTTACAGCAGTGAAACAGGTAAGTCTTCAGATGATTAAGACTGATGCATGTAATACATATTATACTGTTATACAAATTACATTATAGTACAGTTAATCACGTTTCAGTTATACTTTTTGAAGGCAGAAATGTTTAAAATAAGTACGCATATATAGATTAAAGATGAGGTGTACCGTAAAAACAAATACCTAATAATGTTGACAATTAAATAAAACTAGGTGTTCCAATTAAGATACGAACCTTTAAAATAGTATTATTATAATGAGATCTTAATAGAAATGTAATGTCAGTAGCACTTTCCATAACTCTAATATTGTTTGAATGTTACAATTAAATGACAGGGCATAGTGCATACATAATTAAGTTTTAATTAATTAGCAAGGCTTGTGATTATTAATATTAGATTCCATATCGAATGTAAGACAATTTTGATTAGTTAGAACTAATGAAAACTTACGAAGTCGATATTAATTCCTTTTAAAGCAATACTGCGAAGTAGTAATATAATAGATATTAATAGTCTCTTCACTATTTTTTTTTTCTTATAAAATATTCTCTCTATGTTAAAGAAGCTAGATTTCTCATTGCTCATAAAAATGGTACAAAAATGTATTTTTTTAAATTTAAGAAATATGTTCAATGTACAAAATACAAAGCAAGCGTAAACATGTAGGTACATAATAATTTTAGTTAGATAGTAAGGCAGATAGTAGTATTAAATAAATTATTATAAGCGAACACAAATACTATTAAAGGAAAAATTGAAGTGATTTTTTGTCTTGTCTCAAATTGATTATATTTTTTTTTAAGTAAATTATTATTATTGGAGCTTTATTTTAATAATTATGTATTAAATAAAAATAATGTGTAAATTACCGTGATACCAGAATAAAACAAGTTTCATTTTTATTTCTATTGTTTTCTTCATATTAATTTGTTATGTATTTAACTTAGTATTTTTAAAAACGGGTAGTGAAACCAAACCTTAAATACTATAGCATTTTTTTCTGTTATTATTTCTGTTCGTAATTCAGAAGAAAATGTTGCCCTACAAAATATGTAAAACAAATATAAAGAGAATATCTGGGTAAATTCATTCAGTACCTAGAATTTTTCGGCGGCTTAAAAATAAATAAAACTGGGCAAACGATAAAACCCAAACGGTTCACGTCCGAGTTTTAATTTGAAAAACGGATTAAAAACTGACGTATTACCCATGGTTCGCGTGTTGGAACCAACGTTGGGTCAACATTGGCTTTTGAAATTACGAACATGTTTAGAATACTTTGAATAAAAATACCCGACTGCACACTAAAAAAAGAGTAAAACAAGCCCCACAATAATATTGATCAATCAAATGCTAAAAACTAATTATGTAATACCGTTTAAACAATACCTATATTAAAATACACTACAATATGTGTTCGTAATCGATAGTTAAATAAACAGAAACTTATTTTGAATACAAATTTACTGAATATAATTTATAAATGTTGATGGAATGCATCGCAGGCGGGGACCAACAGAGGCTTATTTATAGTCATTTCGGTTGTGCACCATTTAGCAGAATTTTCGTTGGTGGCGGTCAAGGTGGTCCCCGCCTGCGATGCTTTCCATCAACATTTATAAATTATATTCAGTAAATTTGTATTCAAAATAAGTTTCTGTTTATTTAACTATCGATTACGAACACATATTGTAGTGTATTTTAATATAGGTATTGTTTAAACGGTATTACATAATTAGTTTTTAGCATTTGATTGATCAATATTATTGTGGGGCTTGTTTTACTCTTTTTTTAGTGTGCAGTCGGGTATTTTGTTTTTTTAATAATAATTTTTTTATTTATAACTTTTTAGCTGTTTTTATTTAACGAAAATGTTGTAGATGTAGAAGACTATGTATATGTAAGTACCATTTTAAATTATTTCGACGACATTTGGCTTTTTTTATTATTATTATTATGTATGTCTTTACCAATCACAGGACCACAGGGTCCTGGTCATTTGGGAGGCGTACGAGGGGCCGAAGCCAACTGCGCAGAGGCCCTTTAGACAACTTTAATATAAATGTAATGGACACACAAACCGGCGACTATCCCTGTGTGCACTATGGAAATGCACCCAAGGACAGTCCCCGGTTAGTGTAGGACTATTGTGAATAATGGAAAAAAAGGTAGGGCTATGGATGGGTTGTTGTGGACTGGTAAATTGGGAACTATGGATGACTATGACACCTGCCGAAACAATGTAATTTTTACACGTAAAAATGGCAGGCGGAGATTCGCCAACTCACCGACCGGGCCCCGGGAATGGTTGCTAGATATAGCAACAGAGGGGCAACGAGAATGTGAGTGGCTGAAGGGTTAAGAAACTACCACCGCTTTCTACTCAGATCATCTGCTCCAGCCGAAGCCTCCTGCATCCCTGGCCCACTCGCGACTTACGAATAGTTTCTTACCCTCCGAGCAGGTTCACTGCTCTCGCGACTCCACTCTGGACGGCCAATGAAGGCAAGCCAGAGGTGGGAGACCTGTTCCTTGTCATCTTTCACTCCAGCCAGCCAATTAAGGCAAGCCGGAGAAGAAGGAACGGTGACTTCTCCCTGGAGCACTCGGGATGATGGTAGCCCGCGGGATCGCTAATGCCCGTCACCTCGCCTCAAGGTGCCCTGCGGGCTTATTATTATTATTATTATATTTTTTATTTTTATTTATTCAGCCAACAAATGATAAAAACAATGATAATTATTATTATATTATTAATTAATATGAAGAATTTAAGAAAGAACCAAAAAAAAGAACGGAAGAACGAGTTAATTAATTAGAAAGAACGAATAAATTTAAAGAGAGAAACACGAAAGAAAAAAAAAAGAACGAGTTATTTATACTTTATAAGTTTCGCGTCAGACGACGAAGTATCGAAAAAATCGCTATTTAGAGACGACCGTCAACGACGTGTGCCCTCATGCGTGTGCCCGCAATCGGGCTGTATACTCGAGCATATCCCCCTCCGCACCGCGCCGCGCGCCGCATGCCAGGCCACGCCCTATCTTTTTGCTTGCTAACGCATGAGTTGCTTTGCGTTGACGCAGAATTAACATGTTCCCGTGGGAATTTTGAGAAAAAACGTATCCTATATTAATTACTCCCGTGATTGAAATGAATCTAATGATACCGCATACATATTTTTTTAAAGGGAAATTTAGAAAAAATATTATTATGTCTTTATCCCGTGGGACTTTTAGGATAAAATGTATCCTATGACACTCCCGTAATCAAGACAAATCTAACGATACCTCATACATCAAAATCCATCAAGCCGTTTAGGCTACAGGTGGTCACAAAGGAAAAGACATACATACATACTTACATACACTCGAAAAACATTACCCTCCTTCTTTGGCAGTCAGGTAAAAATTCACAAAATAGATTAAAAACAACGCTATTTATATGAAATATTTTCATTAAACCTGTAGGTACGTCTTTTATAAATGGATAAAATATCACTTTTAAAATTTTATTTTTTTTATTTCACGTAATTAATACTTACGTAAATAATTTCAAAATAATTTTGTTATTTTTCTTAATCTCATGTATTAAAATAATGTCCCAAATAAATAACACACCCGTAACAATAATCCGACCACAACTCTAAAAAAATGTAACAACACAAAATATTTTCCTCCAAAAAAAAATTGCCGCCAACGTTTCGCGCCAATAGCGCGCCATTTTTTTTAAACGTCCCTTTCCACGGTCCTTTGCATCTAACGGGAGCGTTCATTGTAATTATGCGTTTACTACGTGATCCCATTTCGTTGGACGTGACTGCGTGAACTAAGCAATATTATAAATATAAAAAAAGTCTATTAATTTTACAGATAGCCTTTTAGATAAGCTATAGATAAAGGATGTATTTTTTTAAATCACGTTTTTTTCTGTATGTTTGATTAATTTTGCAATAGATCGAAGAGTGTTTGTTTTTTATTTGTAGGGGCAAGCTGAATCGAGTTAAGGTTCGTTCCTGGACCACTAACCCATAATCCACCACAGCCAGCCTATGCTGAAACTGTCTATGCGAACGTTTGAAGTAAGTTCGATCGCATTCTCGCCCGTCATTGGTCAAGGTTATTCTCACAACCAAACACGGCAGACCACGATCGAGTTTACTTCAATCTTTCGAATTAAATGTTACAGAATATCCTAGCTGGAATTATGGGACTCTCTACATAAAAGAATTTGCTATAATATCCACATTTGGCATCACCTATGACTACACATCATCGAATGACTGCTCCCGCCTTTAGTGTCAGACTCTTTTACTGACTAAAAACCACCCCGTTCCTTCTCCTGCACTTCGAGCCGGAGCCTGGGTAACCCGTTAGGTTCCCCGCGACTCCGAATCAGCATCAGAAAAGAAGCAGACCCTTAGGATTACGTTATATAAGTAGAAGAAGGGTTTATGTACCATATCACAACATGCCTGTAAAGTTTCCTTCCTAATAGATCCAGAGCACCACAAAGGTTACCTATGGAATAGTTTTAAAAAGTCAAAGGTCTGCTAATAGCCAGCGGTAATTCCATATCGTACCGCCATAGCATAGGTTCGTGAATGGCTAAAAAATTGGAACGAAAAAG